AAAGAGGACTAGAAAATGAGACATGGACACTAATGCTTTTCCTGCTCCATCCTCCCAGCTTCTGGTAATCTGTGATTCAGGGATTTCCTGAGCTGGAAAGACTGGAAAGTTCCTGATGGACTGATCTTCCATGAACTCATCTAATGAGCCCATTTGTTCCCTTGTTCTTTACAATATCCATGGTAAGGACTTCTACAGTTAAGATGCACACTGTATAGAAAAGTACATTTCTTCTGCAAATTCAATCCAGATGCTGAAAGTCAAGCTCTGTTCTCCCGAAAACCAAACTAGACCCTTTGGCAGCTCTTCTGTTTGCATTTGGCTTGGCAAGTGTAACTGATTGGAAACTACTCCTGTAAATACGGACAGGCTTGGATTTACCCATGCCACCTGAGCGCTGTGTGACTGCTTAGAGGGTTGAAGATCAGCATGGGTGGAAGTGGCAGAGGACTGAGACCACTGGTTAACAGTTCTGCTAAGATTAATGAGGTATTTGTGGAAAAACCCAAGCATACTCTCCCACCCGGTCTACGTGCGGCAGGGCCAGTCGGAATACAAAGCAATTAAACATGTCTTTAACATGCAACTCAAGATGCTTTGACACAGAACTCCCTGAGGAGATAGGCTGTGAAGATTAAGAAGAATTTGGGTTTCCTTTCCAAGGCAGAACTTTACTCTCTCGATTGCTTCGCTTTGACCTACTTTAATTCTGCATGTGCTAATTTCTTTGGGTTTTTCTCAGACCAACAGATGCTGAGTTATAACCCAAGAATCTACAGCTGTTCCGTCCCCAACGTCTTCCAAGCCGATCTCCCATATCTGAAGAAGCTCTGCGCAGGGTCCAGGCTGCCCTCGGCCCCTTTGCGCCACCTCTCCAAACTCCAGTCAGCTCACGGGGAAACCTTTCTCCACTTTGCAAAGTCACACTTGTTCATAGACGGTAAGAGAATCTGGTGCTATCTATCATGCATTCTCAAGCAAGTCATAAGTGATTAATATATTCTTTGACAATTGGTATTTTCTTTGAGGGCAAAAAAGAAGTTCAACTTCAGAAATAAATGGAACTGATGGCAGGGAAATGTGTCCTGTCATAATATTCTCTCAGTCCCACAAAACAAGAAGCTGTCTGGTCCTTCAAACACCTTCTTAAGGTGTTCAGTAACGAGATTTTTCAGAAGACTCATTTCCTGCTATTCAACAGTAACAGCAAAGAACAAAAATGGGGTTTGAATCATCTGCGCTTTTTTTGTTATGAAGAAGGCTTCAAATTTTGTTTTCTTTTCCTTTTTCTCCTGCTGGTTGATTGTAACGGTTTTTCCAGGAGAAGGAGGAAAAGTAGAAATGAACTTCTGAAACAAAGGTCGAAATAAGGAGAGGAGGCAAAATCCCTTCTGCCCCACTTCACGCATTTGAATGAAATGAGCCCAGTTTAGGTGATGCTTTTCAGTCCCCTCCTAAATGAAGGAACATGAAAGACCGATTTCCCACACCCTGTGTTTCTCCACAGATATCTACGTGGCCTGGGTGGCTCAGGAACTGAAGACTGATTTGTTGGCTGAATCCTGGCAGCATTCTGGCCAAAAACTTCCCTCAAATTGCTCTCTCGACTACCATGTCTACAACATAAACCTAATAGGGACACCATTGAATTCTACCTTTTATTCCATTAACGATCATTCCAAATGGGCTGTTTCAAGGGAATACAAGGATCAATGGACCTGCATCGGAGACTTAAACCGCGCTGCCGAGCAAGCTTGGCGAAGTGGTGGGTTCATCTGTATGCAGAACGAACACATCTACAAAGCCTTCAGAGGTTTGATAGTCCACTATGAAAGCTGCTCTGATGCTTTCACGTTGATATAACAAACCATTCCCCCCAGACAGCACGGGCCCTTGTGCCACAGAAAGGGTAGGAAACGTCTCCCTTAAATTGTATTTTCACTCTGAAAAATGGTCCTGCGAGTCACCAGACGTGCGAGACCTTCACCTCATTAGCTATAAAAGCAAGCAGTTTGCAGGTAAATTATGGCTCTGTTTCTCTGGGTGCCGGATCAGCTCCGCTCTCATCCCGGCTCCTCTTGCCGTCAGCACCGGCCCAGCCGCTGCCGCACAAGGCTTCACCAAAGCCCGTCGCTGTGCACGGGTGTCCCTGGGGAACCTGGGAGCAACGCTGGGCCCCAGACGGGAGGAACAACAGAAACCTCTCTCGTTGGCTAGGCTGTCGGGGCTGAGCAAAGTACCCCAAAATGCTTCAAAATCACCCCATGTTCCAGGCACCGTGCAGATCAGTCACAGCATTTCTGCTCAGTTTGGGCTGAATCGCTTAACGAGCTGATGTAATTGGCTACAGACAGGGAGACGAGTACATCTGTGGACAGGAAGGCTTCATTTTTACATGACTAATTTTTAGAGAAGAAATAAGCTTTAAATCATTTGTAACCAAAAGCTTGGGAGTATTTCTACTGCTTTTATTCACGTACATCAATCTTATAAACAAATAAACATGTCAAAATTAGGCATAAGCAAAATAAATTAAGACTAAAATGGTGTGTTCACAGTCTCTCTCTTTCATCTTTATAGTTATTTGTGGTTGGTTACTATGTTTTATAGCTGCCAAAGGAAACATAGAGACAATTAGTAAAAAATTAAAATTAAAAGAGAATAAAATATTTGAAGGAAGATGTTATTTCACCTACATTTTCACACTACAACAACCAAGGCTGTTAATTTTCAACACCTTCAGTCTCAGGCTTAGGACCTGCAGTTTGCATGGACTCACTATAAAGACAAAGCTGATTTGCAAAATCCTGATGCACTCGTAGGCTCAGATTTCAAAAGTATATCTGTATTTAATATGTTCCTAAATACATTTATAGCATTTTGTCTCACTTGTATTTTTTTCCTTAATTGCTGATATAAACTCTAGTCTGAAGACTTGGCCGTCTTGCTAATCTTTCTGTTTTGCTGTCTTTGTAGTCCGTACCACTGATTCTCCACAACAGTGTCTTGAAAGGAATTAGATATAAAGAAACGCCCCACAACTACATGAAGTTGTCGAAGATATCCTTCCCGTTTCACTCTGAAAAATCAGCCAAACAACAAAGTGTACAAAGTACCAAACAACTTAATTTCATAAAACGTTTGTGCATACCTCTTGAAGAAATAAAAGTCATGTATCTGGACTTCTTAACAAGAATTATCCAGGAAAAGATTTTATATTTAGTTGATCTGGATTGAAGGCAAACCCGAGTCTCATAGCTCAGTGAAAATAATGTAGATAATTTAGATATTCTGCACAAAGCAGGACTTTTTCTTTTCCCTGCACATGACCAAATAACACTTGATAAACAGTTTGCTCGATAATGTTTTTTCTCTGATGCTTGTCAAATTGTTTTACATACCTACTTTTTGTTTTTAGTAGCTGTGGTCAAGCAACACCTGTCTGTGGCAGTGAAAATTGCCAGTGACAGAGAACGCTGAGCAATGGTGTTACTCAGATAAGCCAAGATACAATTCTTTTCTCTGGTCCACATTTTCATGGCAGGCACTAACCTAAGCTAAGCTAAGCTAACTTAACCTAACCTAGCCTAACCTAGCCTAACCTAGCCTGTCTGAACCCTTACATCTTGCCCATGACTCTCCACATGTGTGACCTCTGTGCACAGGAACGGTGAGAAATCCTTCGCTGGGGACGCTGTGGGTGAGGGTCCCTGCTGTGGGGCATCAGAGGGCCCCCCGGGCTCTGCCCCAGCCTGTGCTGCTTTCGGCAGATGCTCAGCCACAGCCTTTGGGTCACCGAGTGCGATAGCAAAGAGTCTCCATCCGCCGGCTGCCACAGCCGTGTTGCCACAGCCCTGCTCCCCAGGCTAGAAGTCAACCTGCCGTCACTCGGCTTGAAGTGCTGATTGTTATTCTCAATTATATGATGAATCCATAGCTGTCATAAAGCTTCACAAGACTACTTACAACATTCCTCTTTCATTATACCCAAGATTGGCAGCCTCCATTTTGGCTGTTACCGAGGAGGCATGAGCAGCAGTGGGAAGATGGAGAGTTGTACCCTACGCAGCAATACAAGCACCTCAATAGCCAGGTTGCACACACACTCGTTTCAGTGGTGTAGCAATAAAAAGGCTGCAGTTCTACTTCTCTCGTTTTTTGACTGTAAACAGTTTTAATTCAGTTTTGCTTTTGTTGTGTAACATCCATATTTGCATATCCCAGTATTTCTACTACACACATTATGAAACCTGGGCAGACTCTCTTTTTTCCCAAAAAGAGATTGACAATCAAGAAGATAAACCAGGGTTTGTAACTCTCAGGCTTCCTGTGCAAAGGCAAGACCATCCGCCCCTTACTCAACCTCATATGCCTTCACAGCATGCACTGGGATCAATTGGTAAGAAATACTTGTCTCTGGATATTTTCTATGTATATTCATAGAGGTTTTCATTTTAAAATGTGCTGTTCTTTTTCAAAATGCCAAATTCTCAACAAATGTCTGCTTGTTCCAGTTCCTCTTTGCTGCCCACCGCTCCCCTTCTGACTTGTCAGCCCTTCCTCTGTGGAAGGGACATCTGGGGTGGCCCTGCTGCGATGGCAGGGGGACCTGCCCAGCAAAGCTGATCCCGCAGAAGGGCAGAAGTCTCGGACCCTGGCATGGAGAGGGGAGAAACCTGGCCTCATGTCTGGAAACCCAGAGTCTTCTCCTCGGCGTGCAGGTATGGCTATTCTGACCCTTGGGCTCTGTTCTAGATAGATTAAATGAGAACATTTATTATACATGAAAATTATTTGCCAAGGGAGTAGGAGCGGCCAAAAGCTGACATTATTAATCCACTAAACATTACTGTACTGCAGCCAAGTTTGTAACAAACACAACACTAGGGATTGTTGTTTGATATAAATTGCCTGTAATCATTTCCACAAGCCGAGACTCAGTCCCAGCACGCCTGACAAGCTCATGAGGGGCAGGAAAAGCAAGCACAGCCTCCCGGAATGCCGCTCGCTCACCCTCCAGGACGGCTCCTGCCCTCGCCATGGCCACCACCACCCCAGACCATGGGCACAACTCCCTCTCCCTGTCACTGCTCCAGAAAATCCCCTTATGATTTTTCTGCAAAACCCCTGTATCCCTGTGGATGCTGCTGTAACATGGGTAATTGTGGATCGTTAGGGTAGTGGTCTGCTGTGTTGGAAGAGTCCAATTTCACACAGACTTTGTGCAAGAGGTCAAAGGATTAGACATTAACCTCATTAGGAGAAAAACTAAAAAAAAAATTAAAAAAAAATTTTGAAGGCATAAAAATGCAAACTGTGTGAAATTTAATTCCAGCTGGGCAATTACAATACTGGCAAAGAGGAACAGGCATTGCAGCCTGAGTCCACTTCACAGGGCAGCCTTTACGGTGAGATTGCTTCTGGTGTCTCCACAGCAACTGAAAATATACTGAGCCCTCACGATGGGAGTGACGGGCAATGTATTGGAGAATTTCTCAAGGATGCCTGGGGCTTGGTGCCAGCTGTCTGCCCGCAAGGCCAGGGAAGCTTTGGGAGAAACTTCTCTGACGGAGCTGGGAACCTTGCCTTCTCCAAGGCGTGCTAACTTAGCCTGGCACTTGGACTTATCACGGAGGTTCGCAGGTGTAGTTCTGAACCACAGCAAAGTCTGCTTTAAAGTGTGCTAGATCCGCTTTTAAAAAGTACAGCAGTCCAGCAAAGCCCAGGAGGTTTTGCTTGTCTCTCTGCCAGTAATGCCCAGTCTGCCGGCAACCACTGCAAACCACACGTGCTGCTCCCCTCTCAGCACACTTTGTGCAGATTTCTGCTCTCAGAATAGAAGGGTTCCAGTAAATGCATCTAATGTAAGCACCTGTGTCAAACAGGGCTTCCTCAGCTTGCCTGCGGTGTGAAGGGAGAAGGGCTATTTTTGCAGACATGTGGGCCTCTCTCAGCCCTCTCTCCTGTTGAATATATACACTCCTGACTCCTGACAGCAATGAAATGCTCAAGAACATTATTGTCAGAATCTGTTTTAATGTATCAAAGCATCCTTGGCGTTATTAGCACAGTCACGTAATTATCCCCAGAGAAACTTCCACCCAGATGTTAACGCCCATAAGTTATTGTGTGGATCTCTTTTATTCTTTCATTTTCAGTTTCTGGGAAAGACACATCAATGGATACTTAGTATAGCAATTGCTTCAGAACCTGGAAGCTGCCTACGCCCCGGGTAAAACGCTGGGGGGACAGAACAGTGCTGGCAGTGTCTTCTAAACGCTCGGGGTGAGCCAAAGCCCAACTGTGCTCGGAGTGTGATGCAAGAATATGATGCACTTCTTTTTTTTTCCACAAGACATTTTTAAAAAAGACAGAAATTTAAAAATGAGAACAGAGATTAATAGAAATTTATGTTAGGCAAAGTGTGGGGAAAAACCCCTTGTAGCGGGGAATAAATTCTTCATAGTACAAGGCAGAGAGCCTGACCCGAAATTTCAAGCTCAAATATCAGTATCAGTGTTTTCTAGATACCCTGATACCCTGAGTAACTTAGCCAGATCCAACGCTTTTCTAGTTAGATTGGAGACACCACACTAAAGGCCTAATCTTCTGATTTTTTCATAGTCTTTATGAATTTGGCATGAATGCAGTAAAAGAAGCTGCATACGAACTCAGAAATCAGGTGTAGCACTTTTCAGATCTCAGCCTCGGACAGGAGCTAGGCCATAATACAATTTTTTAATGCAGGCCCATTGTATGCTTATCTTTATGGTTTTTAACTGGATTGTCCCAGTATTAAAAGTATGCTATTCTATGCATATTTGATACGTTCATTTTACTCAGACTGTTAAACACAAAACATT